CCTTCACGTGACGGCGAATGTTTGCAAGTCTCTTCAACCCGTGTTGTTCTGAGGGGAGACAGGAACTGGACTGTCTACCTATGCAACATAATGCAGTTAATATATTAAAGTTACAACAAATTGCTCAATGCATATTAGCTGCAGTTTTTAACAAAGCCCAAAAGGTACCCCTTCATGTTGTTAGTATTTAATTTTTGAAGCCTTTGGATTAGTTGAGTTAACCAGGCCACTTATGCTATGTGCAGAAATTAGGCTACCAAGAGGCAATATATGTTTTGCCTAAAAGTTGCCACAAACCATTCAGACAATAAGCTCGTAAGCAAAGCTTTATTTGATAAAATATTGCATAGTTACTGTGAAACATTAAAAAAAAGTCAGCGACTTAAAGCATTTTCACATATTAGAACTTCTCAATCATGTCAAGACTTAGGCCAAAGTATCACAAAGTTGGCAGTTTGTAAAGGCATGATAAACCTATCTAACAAAATGAGAAATTAATTCACCTGTCCAAAAACCAGCAAGTACACTTGTTAGCAGCTTAAGCATCTTAAATATAAGACACGATGAAAGTAATGTGCACAGTCTGAAGCAGTCTGGGAATCTAACTTCAGTTATAAATGACCTTGTTTTATACCAGATAGCCTGAAAATCTAACCCAAAGTAATATCCTAAACTAATCCTTTAATATTAAAAATACCACCCTTAATTGTCTCCTTCTCCAAACCTATCCCAGGTTTCTGCCAGGTGTAGCAACAGACTTGACAGTGAACTTGTATGTCAAGGCCTCTCAGCCAGGTCAAATATCATGTCAACACTTCAAATGTAACACTTTGTTGGGTGATAGCAGGACTGAAAGAGTTGAGTTGTTATAGTTCCTTGAGAGTAGAAGATGAAGGCAAGATCTGACCAAGGTATTCATGATCAGTAAAGGATAACTGAAGGAGTTCCTCCTTGTGATGAGGGAGTAACCTTAAGCTTGTAGCCAGACTAGTCACAGAGTGATGTCAAACTGTTTCTTCAACAGGGTATCTAGAGAATTCAGGATCTTTATCCTGAAAAGGCTGTGGGTCAACTGAAATTTTTGAAACTAAAATTGAGATACTTTCATTAGACAGAAGTATCATGAGATACAAAATCAAGGTGGGTAAGTGGAACCAAGATACAGGACAGCCGCGATCTCAGTGAATGGTGGAATGGAAATGAAGGACTGGATGGCCTTGTCCTGTTCGGAAACCTGTTATTCTAGACACAAGATGCTATATAACTGCAGGATGTTGTTGTGAAAACCAAGCCGTTCAACAGCTGCTTCATTCTATTTCTGGACAATGCAAAGTTAATGAGACAAAACAGTTCATGGAGATTTGATTTTTAGTTTAATTGGAAAATGTAGAAGGACAATACAAGAGACAAAGTGTTTGCTAAGAGCTAAATTAAGTAACTTGCCCACCCTAAAAGAAGAAAAAAATGCAGTATATATAGATAACCTGAGGAACTCCACTTTTAACATCCAGTTTTACAGCTGGAAAGTTTTAGCGAGTAACATAGTCTAGTAACAATATAGGCTAGTAATCTGAATGTTCCTTTTATTTGCATTAACAGTAATCATTGCTCCATTATTCAGTCTTTCACTATTAGAACGCACTACATACCAGAAATCTACGATAGAGCTAAAATTAAATTAGGAAAATTTGGCAGCTTGCTCAATTAGTGAACAGATGGTTTACATTGCTCGTATTATTTAAAAAATGCACATTCAAGTCATCTGGCATTGCTGCTGAGGCCAGCATTTATTCCCTATTGCCAATTGCCCTCAAGAAGGTGGTGGTGAGCCACCATCCTGAACAGTTGTACACCATGTGGTGTAGACACACTTATAGTATTGTTAGGAAGTGTGTTCAGGGTTTAATCCTAGCGATCATGACAAACAGTGATTACATCAGGTAAACCTTCTGTCTGTATCAGTACATCAAACGTCACCAACTCTTAGAACCACAGTGGAATGTAACATCAAAATTCTTGAAAACTTTGGCTATGAAATTTATCTCCAAACCCTTAACCTCCATAAGTTCCCACCTATCTCACTGCCCCATGTTAATTTGAACGCCTAACAATGGAACCATCAGGTATTTTTTATTCGTTCACAGGACATGGGCATCACTGGCTCAGCCAGCATTTATTACGCATCCCTAATTGCCCTGGAGAAGGTGATTGTGGACTGTTGGAGTTTGGAGCTTGGACACCATTGTGCTGTTTGCATTCTCAGTTTAAACATATTGCACAGAACAAGAGTCCAGGTTATGACTGTATTACAAAATGTGTTTCTAAAAAAAAAAGTTAATATCTCTACGTTGAGAAACTGCTTCTATACCCATATGCAAACTTTACTCACTTTATCATGTTTTGACCGTTTGTCTAAAGCTGCCTTGCAGAGCAAACAACAAAGTTAAAATAGATAGGGAGTGTCACAGCAGTAGCTTACAAAGCTTCAAACAGAGATTTGCCCATCAGGAGGAGGAAATTCATTATACACAGACTAGCATTCAATGTTCACCTGCATTAATATTATGTTACCCTTTCTAACCATGAGTGATGGTGCCCTACAGTTCTAGGGAAGGAGATTGTCTGCAGATAAATGTTAGTCCCTCATTGTTCACTTCCATTATTCCCAGTTGCATAAATGTGATAACTGCATGGCAACTTAGGAACAAATCAGATTGTGACTGATTTCCTCTCCTCTCAGACTGGTTTTCCCCAAGACCAGACAGGTACTGGGTTTTAATTATTTCAGCATTTCTCAGACTGAGTGCTTCATGGTAATGGAAGGTGTCTCACTGAAACTGTCCCAGCACCTGGCTGGCTATATCCATGAATGAAGGTACAAGACATCTAGATCCTGACCACAGAATCCTACAATGAACAGCAACAATGGAAAAGGCATGATTACTAAGTTTGCGGATGATACAAATTTTGGAGGTATTGTCGATAGCGAAGAAGGTTATTAAAAATTACAGAGGGATCTTGATCAGATGGGGAAGTGGGCTGAGGATTGGCAAATACAGATAAGTTTGAGGTGTTGCACTTTGGAAAGTCAAACCAAGGCAGGGTTTATACAATAAATGGTAGGGTCCTGAGGAGTGTTGTGGAACAGAAGGATCTAGGAGTACAAGTACTTGGTTCCTTGAAAGCGGGATCACTAGTAGACAGGGTGGTGAAGAAGACACTTAGCATGCTGGCCTTCATCGGTTGCAGCATTGAGTACAGGAGTTGGGACGTTATGTTACAGTTATATAAGTTGTTGGTGAGGCCGCACTTGGAGTATTGTGTACAGTTTTGGTCACCCTGTTATAGGAAAGACATAGTTAAACTGGAAAGTGTGCAAAGAAGATTTATGAGGATGTTGCCAGAAATAGTAGGCCTGAATTATAGGGAGAGGTGGGTCAGGATATGACTTTATTCCTTGGAATGTCGGAGAATGAGGGGCATAGATAGGATGAATGCAAATAGTCTTTTTCCTTGGGATGGGGAATTGAAAACTAGAGGGCACAGGTTTGAGGTGAGAGGGGAAAAATTTAAGAAGGACCTGAGGGGAAACTTCTTCACGCAGAGAGTGGTGAATATATGGAATAGGCTGCCAGAGGAAGTGGTTGAGACAAGTACAATAACAACATTAAAAAAACATTTGGTTAGGTACATGGATGTGAAGGGTTTAGAGGGATATGAAATAAATGCAGGCAATTGGAATGAGCTGAGTGGGCACGCATGGTCAGCACGGACCAGTTTGGGCCCAAGGGCCTGTTTCCATGCTGTATTACTCTATGACTCTATTTAAAACAAAACATAAGTGCAGGTTTGGTCAATTTGATGTTCATTAGGATTCCACACTTCACATGAAATCACATTGAAATATTTTAGGTGATAATTACAGGGTCCTCTAGATTAATAAGGACTGCTAGGTTTAATAGTTGATTAGGATTTGTGCCACTAGACAATGGCCTGTTTTTAGTTGTGTCGTCCCTCTCCATCTCTTCCTCCTCCCTTTGGGCAAATTGTCAGTCATGATGGTTGTGAACCTGCTCAGAAGCTTGGTATGGAATTCGGAAGACTTTGATGTGGAGGTGTGATGCAATCTGAATGCAGACAGCAGTACAGTAAACCAGCAAATCGCACAGAGAGAAGACCTGGAAAAAAACATCAAAACACGACTCTCATTTTCATCTCGTATGACAACCAACAACAACTTGCATTTAAACAGCACAGTCAAACATGGGAAAATGTCTGATGATTATCAAACAGATTGGACACCCAGCCACAGAGTGAAAAATTTGAACAGGTGTCTAGAAGCTGTTCTGTTTCAGAGCTCAGGTGGTAGAAAACACAACCTCCACTGGTTGAAAGGCTAACATGAAGGCACTCAATTAAACAGGATCTAGGAAGCAGAGAGATCTCCAAGGGCAGGAGGTTACAGCAATATAGAACAATGAAGGGAACTGAAAACAAGTAGGAAGACTTAGAACTAAAAACCGAAAACGCTGGATGAACTCAGATCTGACTAAGTTGTATCAGACTTAAAACATTAACATGGTTTCTCTCAGCAGGTCTGGCAGCATCTCTGGATTCTTTCTCCAGCACACTTTGTTTCCTTATTTCCAACATCCACAGTATTTTGTTTTTATAGGAAAATTTTAAAACCTGAGGCATTGCTGAACTGAAAGCCAGTGTTGATTAAATTTAAACAAAAGAACTGTGGATGTTGGAGATCTGAAATATACAAAAACAGAAAGTACTGGAGAAACTTAACAGATCTGGCAGTGTCTGTGGAGAGAGAAATAGAGCTAATGTTTCCGGTCCAGTATGACTTCTTCAGAACTGAAGAACAGTCACTGTACTCAAAACATTAACTCTGTTTCTCTCTCTACAGATGCAGCCAATGTTGAATAGCGAGATAGGGTGATTGGTGAACTAGAGGTCTACCGAGATAACATTTTCAACACTGATACCATGGAGTGTAGATTAGAAATGCTGACAGAAAACTTAATTTCAGGGGGTTGATTGGAGAAGCACAGATACCTAGTAATGTCCCTTGTTGGATGCATCACAGGCACAAATCACTGATTTCAAAGAGAAAATAAATCAAATAATTTGGTTGTTGGGGAGAGCTCATCTCTATAAAGTTGTATAGACCAGAACTGCATTGCATTAAGTGAGGAGGATGAAGGCAGCTAATCTGATGAATCAGGGCAGGACTTATACACTTATTGGAAAGGTCTTGGGGAGTGCTGCCAAGCGAAGAGACCTTGGGGTGCAGGTTCATAGTTCATTGGAAGTGGAAGTAGAGAGGATAGTGAAGAAGGCATTTGGTAAGCGTACCGTTATTGGGCAGTGCATTGCATATAGGAGTTGGGATGTTGTGGCTGTACAGGACATTGGTTCAGCCACTTTTGGAATACTGCATGCAATTCTGGTCTCCCTGCCACAGAAAAGATGTTGTTAAACTTGAAAGGGCGTAGAAAAGATTTACAAGGTTGTTGCCAGAGTTGGAGGGTTTGAGCTGTAGGGAGAACTTATAGAAGTTTATAAAATCATGAGGGGCATGGATAGGGTAAATAGTCAAGGTCTTTTCCCCAGGGTAGGGGAGTCCAAAACCAGAAGGTATAGGTTTAAGGTGAGAGGGAAATTTAAAAGGGACCTAAGGAGCAACTTTTTCACGCAGAGGGTGGTTTGTGTATGGAACGAGCTCACAGAGGAAATGGTGGAGGTTAGTACAATTACAACATTTAAAAGGCATCTGGATGGGTACATGGATTGGAAGGGTTTAGAGGGATATGGGCCAAATGCTGGCAAATGGAAGCAGATTATTTTAGGATATCTGGTTGGCATGAACAAATTGGACCAAAGGGTCTGTTTGTGTGCTGTACAGCTCTAGGACTATAACTGAGTTGGGCAGATAGAAACAAACCAGTTCCTCTGTTGCAGGGAGGAGCTGGAGTCAGGGAATGCAGAGTAAGGCACAAAGCAATTCAGGGGTGATAACAGAAACACTTCTTTATAGAGAAGTGTGTGCAAATCTGGAACTCACTCTCTCAAAACAAAACCTGCTGTGACTGTGGGCTTATGTGAGGGGGTGGGGCGGGGGAGGTGATGTGGTGGTGGTCTCGATCAGTTTGAGACGATGAATGGCTTACTTCTTTGACTTCTTAAAATTTCAAAACTGAGATTCATAGATTTTTGTTGGGCAGGATTATTAAGGATATTTGAGCCAGGCAGGTCAATGGATTTAACAACCAGGAACAAACACAGAAGTTGCTGGAAAAGCTAAGCAGATCTGGTAGCATCTGTGAAGAAAAGAATCAGAGTTAATGTTTCGGGTCTGGTGACCCTTCGTCAGAATAGTTCTGAGGAAGCGGTCACTGTACGCAAAACGTTAACTCTGATTTCTCTTCACAGATGCTACCAGACCTGCTGAGCTTTTCCAGCAACTTCTGTTTTTGTTCCTGATTTACAGCATACGCAGTGCTTTCAATTTAACAAACAGACCTCTCTGAATGGTAAAACAGGCTGGCAAGGCTGAATGGCCTACTCCTGTCTGTAAAATGGTGCAAACCTGTTTGGTCAGGACTAAGTGAGCTGGTATTAAAGTGTGTTACAGAACATAAAACAGTGAAAAGGAGACAGCCAGAGATATAGGGACAAGTTACAGAAAGATGGAAAAAGTGTGCTATCTCTAGATGACCCAGAATGCTAGTACTCTGTTTAAAACCTGGATGTGCTGATACTGAATGCAAAAGGCCGACAAATTATCTGCACTTCAATAGTCACTAATTTCAAAGACAAATTATCTCCAAAATGATCATGTACAACAGCAAACATCTGAGGCTCTGAAGAAGACTCGCTGGACTCAAAATGAAGGATTATGCTGACCGGGCAGGTAACTGAAGCTGAGGCCACGAAAAAATCAGCCAAGAACTTGCTGAACGGAAGAGCAGGGTGCAGGTGCTGATGACCTACTCCTGCTCCCATTTCTTCTGAAACTGTATTTCTATCCACAGATACTGCCAGGCCTGCTGAATTTCTCCAGAAATTTCTGGATCTTCAGCATCTTCAGTTATGTTTTATTTTAACATTTGAAGTGACTAGTTTTGGAAAACACATGGATAAGCTTTTAATCCTTAAAATGTTTTGAATATATAAATCCAAGCCTCTTCAATGCAATGTACTTACCATTGCTGCCCACAGTACAATGTACTCGTTAATAAAACTATTGAAGTATTGGTTCAGAAAAAGCAGCCCAGGCCCAATGAATGCTGTGTCTTGTAGTTTCATCTTACTTTTGGTCATGTGTGCCACCTACAAAAATCAACCGGGAAAAGTCTTGCTTTAATAATTATAGTTGAAACAGTGATGTCCAATACTCACATACAGTATACCGAACACTGTCACGTCAACATTCAGTATTTACTTTAATTACACTGAAAACTCTTACAGACAGGAAGAGGCCATTCAGCTATTTGAGCCTGTACCGATTCTCCAAGAGATTGAGAAGGTGATGGTGAGTTGCCTGTAAGATGTTAATAGCAATAAAAACAAACTACTAGGGAAATTAAAGGGACTTAAAGTAGGTAATACGCTGGACCTCAAGAGTGTTGAAGGATGTAGTACAGCAAGCAGTTAAGGCAAATGGCATGTTGACCTTTATTACAAAGGGTTTTAAATAAAAGAGTAAAGGTGTCCTACTGCTATTCTATAGAGCTCTAGTGAGACCATACTCTCAGTTTTGGTCGCCTTATTTAAAGAAAGATACACTTGCCATAGAGCTAGTTCAAGAGAGATTCACCAAACATTCCTGGTATGCAGAGATTGCCCCACAAGGAAAGATTATATTCTCTGGAGTTTAGAAGAACGAGAGGTGATATTAATCCAATTTACACATTTGTCACATGCTCGACAAGATCGTGTAGGATAGTGCTTCACCCTGGCTGGGGTTTTAGATCCAGGGGGCACAGTCTCAGGCAAGGGACAGGCCATTTAGGACTGAGATGAGGAGGAATTTGTTCAACTCAGAGGGTGGTGAATCTTTAGAATTCTCAATGGTAAGGCTGTGGTGCTTAGTTCTTGACCATGTTCAAGACACGGATTGATAGATTTCCACATAAGAACATAAGAACTAGGAGCAGGAGTAGGCCGTCTGGCCCTTCGAGCCTGCTCCGCCATTCAATAAGATCATGGCTGATCCTTTCGTGGACTCAGATCCACTTACCCGCATTCTCACCGTATCCCTTAATTCCTTTATTGTTCAAAAAAAATCTACCTTTTTTTAAAAAACGTTTACTGAAGTAGCATCAACTACTTCACTGGGCAAGGAATTAAATAGATTAACAACCCTCTGGGTGAAGAAATTCCTTCTCAGTTCAGTCCTAAGAACATGGTGCTGAAGTAGGTCAGCCATGACCTCATTCCTGAGGGGCTGAATGGCCTGTTCCTGCTCCAATTTCTTATATTCTTAAAGAAATCAAGCAGTGTTACCATCATATCCCTCAACCTCAATTTCTCAATTATTTCTGCAGGCTCCCTGACTCTAAGATGATGGAACACGGTCTAAAAAAATCAAAACCAGAGGTTTCAGGGATATAATTAGGAAGTTCTTACTTGGGTAAAGGTGGCAAAAATGTGGAATGACAGTTGATGCTGGATCAATTGTGAATTTAAAATCTGAGATCGATAGGCTTTTTTAGCCAGGGCTATTGGGCAAATATAGTGTGACAGAAACTTAGGATAGAGGGAACACAGGCCAACCCGGCTGTCAACTCCTTTCAGCCTTTCGAGCCTGTTCCACCATAACTCTGGACTTCTTTGTTTATCAAAAACGGTATCTAACTCAGATGGCACAGATTAATTGTCATCTCTTGGGGAGGCTAACAGGTTTCCTCCTGTACTAAAGTTGCCAACAAAAATATGATCCAGTTCCTTTTCCAAATGCATCAAATGATTGTGAAAATCAATGTCCCTTCTCTGGGGACTTTGTTCCATTACAGTTAAAAACCTAGACCAACCTGACAAGACACTGGGGTATGCAGCAGCTGACAGAGCTGTAAATTAGGAGCAGTGTTCCGTACAAACAAGCAATGAAGAAAACATTGTTGCACTGGAGCAGATGCACGATTTGGGAGGCAGCAGCCATTAACTGTGAGTGAACAGCTGTTCCCAGTGTTACGGGGAAGAATAGTGTCAGTGTAGCATCACAGAGCACAGGAGGAGGTCATTCAGCACATTGTTCAGAGAGTTAGAACAATCTATCCAATCAGCCCCACTCCCCCTTGTTCCTTCCCAGAGCACATTATTTCCCTTTTGAGTATTTATTCTATACCCCTCTTGAAAGTTACTACTAAATCTGTCTCTACTACTCTCGCAGACAGCTCATTCTAGATCATAACAATTACTGTTTTAGTTTTAAAGAGAAAATTCTCATCTCCCCCTCTGGTTTGTTTACCAAGCACATTAAGCCTGTCTGAAAACACATCAGAACAGAGCTAATTGTGTACAGCACACTTGCGAAAGTCAGCAGTTCAGAAATTAATGGTCAGCACAACCTCTGAGTGAAAATGTTTCATCAAGTCATGAATGTTTCTTTTTTTTAAACTTCGTTCTAGGGATGGGTGTCGTTGGCTAGCCAGCATTTACTGGCCGTCCCTAGTTGCCCCTTGAGAAGGTGGGGGTGAGCTGCCTTCTTGAACCACTGCAGTCCATGTGCTGTGGGTTGACCCACAATGCCATTAGGGATGGAATTCCAGGATTTTGACCCAGCAACAGTGAAGGAACAGTGATAGTCAGGATGATCAGTGGCCTGGAGGGGAACTTGCAGGGGGTGGTGTTCCCATGTATCTGCTACTTTTGTCCTTCTAGATGGAAGTAGTTGTGGGTTTGGAAGATGCTGCCTGAGGATCTTTGGTGAATTTCTGCAGTGCATCTTGTAGATAGTACACACTGCTGCTACTGAGCGTCGGTAGTGGAGGGATGTGATGCCAGTCAAGCGAGGGCTGCTTTGTCCTGGATGGTGTCAAGCTTCTTGAGTGTTGTTGGGGCTGCACTCATCCAGGCAAGTTGGAAGTATTCCATCACACTCCCGACTTGTGCCTTGTAGATGGTGGACAGGGTTTGGGGAGTCAGGAGGTGAGTTACTTGCTGCAGTATTCCTAGCCTCTGACTTGCTCTTGGTATTTTTATGGTTGGCCCAGTCTTGGCTGTGGAAGTTTGATTTCTAATGGCTTTTTGGTACTAAAAATAAACAAACAAAGGAGGCAATATTTTCAACTTAGCGTGTTTGCAATAACGTACCACTAATTTGTTTGTAATTTTTGAAGCCACACATCCAAATGCTAAAACATACAGACAAGGGTGGTCCTCAAACAGACGTGTGGTGGATTTTTTGTAGATCACTGTAGCCATTATGATGACCAGCCCAATGTGCAAAGCAGGTGACAGAACACTGGTACCCTGGAAACAATAAGAATGCAACAGTGAACATCTGCAGTTCTAGACTAGCAATGCCTTTTGGAACATTTGTTTTTATTTATGTAGTCTGCATACCGCTATTGTGGAACCATTCTTTCCTGTTCCACCAGAAAAGATGACCCGGAAGTAATTGGTACAGGAATAGATTGCTCCTCCTATTATTCCAAACACAGGCAGGATTTTCATTCTCAGTCCTAGTACAGGAATCTATATCGGAAGCAATAATAAACGGGAGTTGCATATGACATCAACAGCAACATTGTCAAACGTCTTGTAACAGAACCAATGTCTGTCTACAGTATCAATGACTGAAGTATTGTGACTGTCTTTACATTCTGAACCTCCCTCAATCAATATCATTACAATACACATTTAGAAAGAGATGCGTTACCTTTCTTTAGCCATCCCACGCAAAGGTTTAAAGGGGATGTCCAGAAGCAGCAGAACATAATAAAAAAAAGTAAGCGACACAAAATCTGTGTCAGTACCACATTGAACAGCACATGTAAATGAAACGTCATTGTAAAGAGCTCACTGTGTCCCCACTATAGGTAATTAATAACATGTAACATAGGTTCACCTGACAGAAAGAAACCAATATAAGCTGGGCTGAATATAGGAATAAAGCCAAGATCACCAGGGCAGGAAAAGTTGCTTAGACAATAACAATAACTGATAGGAAGGTGATCTTCACTATGGCCAAAAGCACTCCCCGTCACACATCCAGGAGTTTACACAGCTGTGGAATAATCTTTAAAAGTAATATACAACCACTTTCCCTATTCTGAGATACTCCATTTTCCTTTGAGACAGAAAATAAATTATTCTTACAGATCACTGGTAAGTGAGTAATTCAGATATACAACATAGTACAGTATAAAATGTGAAAGGCTAATTAACTCTTCAACAGAGGAAGAGGAACAAAACATTAGGTTGGAATGAGGGAACAATTTTATATTTAAATGGCACGTTTTGACATCTGAAAGCCTCCTAAGCACTTCAGGTACAATGAGTTACTCTGAAGATTGGCTGATTACATCGTTTACTCATGTAGTGCCATGAAAACCATAAAATATGAACAAACTTTGGCAGAGTTCAATGAAGAGAAACCAAGGAATTCAATAAGAAGCTTGGTCAAGGAGATGGATTTTAAAGTGACATGGCCGCAACATTATGGTACAGCAAGATCCCACAAACAGCAATGAGCCAAATGATTGACTAATGGTGTTAGTGAAGGGAAGAACGTTAACTTCCCGAACTGACATACATGAAGACGAATGATATTCTTTGTGATAACCTGGGCAATGGGTAAATGACTGACTCCCCAAGAGATCATCCCCAGTGACTCCCTGTCTGATCAATGTACCAGGATAGTTTGACAGCACGGCAGTGATTGCGTATCCAGGATAAAGTTGCAGCAAGTTTTCAAAGTCTAGATACACATCCTCAGCAAATCTCATCAACACACATATTTTAAACATATTTTTGATGTAGGACATTACTAACCCACAGACCAAGCAAGCCATTAGTTTATTTATCCCCAAATCATCAATTCCAACAATTATTGCAGGCCAACTACTAACACAAAGCAACTCAAGTTGCACTGACAGTAAATCTCTGCTTGTTAAATGGGAAGGGGAGTTTGAGACTGCTGCCTCAGCGCTGGGAAAATCAGACTGATTCCACCATGGTGACCCTTACCTTTTCTGTAGTAGGTCAGAGATGGGAGAATTTGGACTCACGAGGGCAGGAAGCTAGTCTACATAAAGCAGAGACAACACAGTGTAGAACTGGATGAACACAGCAGGCCAAGCAGCATCAGAGGAGCAAGAAGGCTGACGTTTCGGGCCTAGACCCTTCTTTACATAAAGCAGACCTGCTCTGTCACTATCTGCTCCAGGAACCACAGCTGAAGCTGTATATACCACAGTCCAGCACCAGGGGGCAGACCAGCAGTGGCAAGAATGACCATTTGGAATGGGGTCGGGGGGAAGTGAGGGATCAAAACGGTTTTGAATGTGTGCGGATTGTACTCCAGCAGTGTGATACAGTTCAGTTTCAAATGCTATCCTCCAGTGACAAACACAGGTCCATGATGGTGTTATAATCACAATTATTGTGCAGAGTCAAACAGAAACAACATGTGGAGGTGGATTGGAAGATGTGAGGAACTGAACTCAAGAAAACTCCCACCCCCACCATCACTGTCCTCTCTTCAAAGTGTTATGGGCCAAGGAGCAGGAGAGATAGAGGGCTGGACTTGGACTAATTCAGCACGAACCTGCCTTTGTGGAAATGTGCTGCGCAGACATTGTCTCTGCATCAAGGCAATGATTGCACTTCAGAATAAATTCACTGGACCAGGGATGCAAAATACCAACACCAATGAATGCATGTTCTTTCTTTATAAGTTGCTCCCTGTTACTAATCAACAAATATAGACAGCCATCATTAAACTAAACTACAGCTCACCTGGTATTCCCAAAGAGTAGCTCCTCCAATGGCAGATAAGAAAAAGATGAGCATTATGCAGATTTGAACTTCAGTTACATCAATTCTAATCGGATATAGAGAGATCAGTGGTTAAAACTACTACGAGTTAATGTACAATTGATCAGACACTGAACCAAATAATTAGCAGCTGATTCTAGAACACAGAACTGTGAGATTGTTAGATTTTTATTAAGCAACAGCAGTAAGGGACATGGTGAAAAGGCAGGAGTGTGGAGTTAGGTCAGAGGTCAGCCACAATCACTCTCAATGGCAGGACTCCCAGGTTCCTGTCACCAAAGGATGCCTCAGTTCCAAAGTGGGAAATCTCAGACAAGCAGCCCACAACTCTCTCTAGCTGATATGTTCCAATTGACTGTTACTTCATGATTTGGCTGACCGGAGTTGGTACAGAGCTGGATGTGAGGCTTCCAATCAATTAGAATCAGCTCTCTCTAACATTAGATGTGGAAACTGCCACTTTATTAACACACATGCTCTGGGTTGATACAGTCGACCCTGTAACTAGTCATGTACTCAGGTGAGACTTCACATTTAGAAAGTAGGTTAGCAATTCCATTCACATGTGTGCACTAAATTCTAAATTTGTTTTATTTTTAAACAGGTTTTATCACCACATTTAAAATGGATTAACCCATCAAATCTGTACTGGCTCTTTGACCATAGCAAGACATAAGACATAGGAACAGTGGCCATTCAGCCCATCGGATCTGTTCCGTCATTCAATGAGATCATGGCTGATCTGCTAATCCTCAACTCCACTTTCCTGCCTTTTCCCCACAAACCTTGATTCCATTACTGATTTAAAATCTGTCTTTCTCAGTCTTGGATATAGTTAATTACCCAGCCTCGACAGCCCTCTACAGTAAAGAATTCCACAGATTAGAAGGGGGTAGTCAAACAGTTATCCAAATAGTCCCGCTCCCAGTTCTTTACCCATAAACCTGAAACACTTTTCCTTTCAAAATCAAGCCAATTTCATATTTCCACTTTCAGATTGTACAATATTGAAAACAGAGTTACGAAAGCATGCAATCATACAACATTAATGAAGAGCTTCCAAAAGTACAGGTTGGTTTTCCTTTGTGGTGTTGTGAGCTGAAATATTGGTGTTGAGAGCCCTAAAGCACAATGACTACCATGGAGCTCTGTCTGAGCTGTGTCTCATCCTAACAGAGAGCCCCCCACCAACTTACACAGGACCACCCCTCACTGTCACAGACCTCCCTCCTCCCATCCCTTCACAGTTCTTACTTGGTAGTTCTGACAATTTTTGAGCTTCAAAATGGGGTCACATTGGATAAGGTCTGGGAGGCACAGGCACAATGGTAATGTTTCTGAACCGGGAGACAATGTCAACCCAAAGCACTGTCAGTATTCATGTGCAAAATGTGCATGTGCAGTATCCTGCCAGTGACGTTATTCCAAACAGTATTCATACTGATTGTACACCGTGATAGTTGTACTAGCAAGGTGTTCCATAAAGTATGCATTTTCCACACACACAATGTGAACCTTTCAGGGAGTTAAGAGGACACAGCCGAACTAGTAACACAGATGGTTTGGACGAGAGACATACGTTCATATCCCATCCCACCACTGCAGCATAGCGTAATAGGTGTTAGAAGCAAATAAGGCCATTTGACCCTTCAAGCTGTGGGTGTAGTGTGGGGAAGTGAGATCAGTGAAGGTCACAGTGTATTTTTGGTGGTATAGATTCAATTGGCCAATGGGTCTCTTTTGTACTGTCTGATTCTATGATTCTAAGCCTACTTTGCCACTTGATAAAATCATAGCTGTTCTGGTTGTGGTCCCAACATCACATTTCTGTCTATGCTCCACCCCATAACCCTTGATATCCTTGACTATCTATAATCTATCTAATTCTTACTTGGGTACATTCAATAACACAGCTTCCACTGTGTTAGCTAACAACACACTGAGTGAGGAAGTGACTCAGGTGGCAGTTCGCCAATACCTTCCCTACGGCTTTTAGGGAGGGGTAACAAATGCTGATCTCGGCAACGGCACCCAAATCCCAAAACTGAATGTGAAAAGTTGAGTTCCAATCAGGAGACTGGGACCAACACAGAACTTTAATTTTGTTCTCCATTAAATGGATCTGTTGATAAGGACTAGCGCTGAGCTCTTACGCTCAGCTGTCACTGTGCTTTGTTGTCCACGGATCTACATTCTTAGACACAGCCTTCCCTAAGTTCCAGAGACAACAGAAAACTAAGTGCCAGATCCTACGTGAAGAATAGGGTTCGGAGTGGGGTAGTAGTTGGGGGAGGGGCAAAACACAAGAACTTACTTGCCAAATCGTAGAGACCCAGAAACGTAGGTTTGCCAGTGGGCGCAATAGAACATGAAGATGCCAATGAAACAGCAGAAAAACATCAGGTCAGGGTCTGTTCCCAGGTGAACGGCCAGGCAGGTGCCCAAGCCAACCACAACTATACAAATAAACAGAAAGAACAACAGCAATAAAACACAAGACAGAGATAAACATCCCTCCAATGTTAGTCCTGAGTGTTCTATGTCTACCTTAGCAAATCCTACCATAATCTTCAATATTCCCTGATCATTAGGAATTCTCAGCTCTTGCTTCTAGACAATAACTTATGGTACCTTTGTCAGTGCTGCTTTATCTTCTGTAAAATGTGGAGGACAGAACTCTGTCCAGTGCTCCATGTATGGTCCAACCAAAGCTTTACACAAGCACAGTATAATCAATTCTCCCTCTCAAAATGAAGCCCAGTTGTCAGCTTGCTATTTTAATGGATGCATTAACCTGCTTCATGACTCCTGTTGATTTGTATTACCTCAGGTTCCTCTATCTCTCCTACCTGTGGAAAAGGAATCACAGCCATGGTCAAAAAGCTCCCCAAGGGGAGAGCTGCTGTTGGTCCTTCGAGCCTGTTTCCCATCAATTGCATCCAAAGATTGGTAAATAAATAATCCTACAGCACACAGAACGTAGACATAGGCTGGTGCCTGTCAAAAGAAAGGAGACCGGGTCATAGATTAAATGGTCCAGCACAAGCTTTTTAAATACATTGAGTAACACTGATCAGATGAAATTATCTACTGACTATAGAAATATACTGTAAGTCATAGGAGCAGAATTAGGCCATTCAGCCCATCAAGTCTGCTCCATCATTTGATCATGGCTGATATATTTCTCAAACCCATTCATGTGCCTTCTCCCCATAGCCTTTGATCCTGTTACTAATCAAGAACCTATCTATCTCTGTCTTAAATACACTCAGTGACTTGGCCTCCACAGCTCTCTGTGGCAATGAGTTCCAGAGTCACCATCCTCTGGCTGAAGAAATTCCTGCTCATTTCGGTTCTAAGGTGTTGTCCCTTCACTCTGAGGCTGTGCCTTCAGGTCCTAGTCTCTTCTCCTAGTGGAAACATCTTCTCCATGTCTACTCAATCCTCTTAGTTCTTTGGGTTTCAATCAGATCCCCCCTTATCCTTTGAAATTCCATTGAGTACAGACCCTGAGTCTTCAACTGCTGCTCACATGGTAAGCCCTTCATCCCCGGGATCATTCTTATAAATCTCTGGATCCACTCCAACACCAGCACAATATTCCAAATGCGGTCTGACCAGAGCCTTAACAGCCTCAGGAGTACATTTCTGCTCTTGTATTCCAGCCTTCTCGAAATGAATGTTAACATTGCATTTGCCTTCCTAACTGCTAAGTGAACCTGTATGTTAACCTTAAGATAATCCTAAACTGGACTCCCAAGACACTTTGTGTTTCAGATTTCCAAAGCTTTTCCCCATTTAGAAAATAGTCCACGCCTCTATTCTTCCCACCAAAGTTCATTACCTTACAATTTCCCATACTGTATTCCATCTGCCACTTGTTTGCCCATTCTTCAAATCTGTCCAAATACTTCTGCAGGCTCCTTGCTTCTTCAACACTACCTGCCCCTCCAACAATCTTTGTGTCATCTGCAAACTTAGCAACAATGCCCTCAGTTCCTTTGTCTAGATCGTTAATGTATAACGTGAATAGTTGTGGTCCCAACACTTACCCCTGCACAACTCCACTAGTCACCGGCTGCCATCCTGAGAAAGACCCTTTTATCCCTGCTCTCTGCCAGTCAGCCAACCCTCTATCCATGCCAATACCATGGGGTCTTATCTTATTTAGCAGCCTTCTGTGGGCACCTTGTCAAAGGCCTTCTGGAAATCCAAATAGGTTACATCCACTGGCTCTCCTTTGTCTAACTTGCTCATTACCTCCTCAAAGAATTCTAACAGATGACCTCCCTTGACGAAGCCATGCTGACTCAGCCCTATTTTATCATGCATTTCCAAGTTCTCTCCAATCTCATCCTTAATAATGGACTCTAAAATCTTACCATGACTGAGGTTAGATGAACTGGTGTATAAGTTCCTGTCTTCTGCCTCCCTCCCTTCTTAAACAGGGGCATTACATTAGCCATTTTCCAGTCCTTTGGGACCCTCCCTGACTCCAGTGATTCCTAAAAGATCACCACCAATCCTCCACAATCTCCTCAGCTATCACCTTCCGAACTCTGGGATGTAGCCCATCTGGGCTGGGTGATTTATCCACCTTCAGACCTTTCAGCTTCCCCAGCGATGGCCACAACAGTGACCTCTGCCATAGAGTCACACAGCACAGAAACAGGCTCTTCGGTTCAACTAGTCCACACCAACTATGTTCCCAAATTAAACATCTTCTCCTTTTTGCTGATCCTCTGCTGGTTTTTTAAAAGGCTTCCCAATCCTCTGTTGTCTCACTAACCTTCACCACATTGTCTGCTTGAAGGACCTCCTGTACCTGGCTGTCTTTTTATTGTCTGCTGTGGCTCAGTAGGTAGCGCTCATATCTCTGAGGCAGAAGGTTCATGTCCCACTCTGGAGGCATGAGCAGAAAACCCAGGCTGGCATTCCCACAGAGGGTGCTGCACTGTCTGAGATGCATCGCTCAGATTAACATCCTGAGGCCTCCATATGCCCCGTTGGGTGGGCATAAAAGATCCCATAGTCACTATTTGAAGAACTTACAAGATGATCAGAGGATTAGATAGGGTGGACAGCGAGAGCCTTTTTCCTCGGATGGTGATGGCTAGCACGAGGGGTCATAGCTTTAAATTGAGGGGTGATAGATATAGGATAGATGGCAGAGGTAGTTTCTTTACTCAGAGAGTAGTAAGGGTGTGGAATGCCCTGCCTGGAACAATAGTAGACTCGCCAACTTTAAGGGTATTTAAATGGTCATTGGATAAACATATGGATGATAATGGAATAGTGTAGGTTAGATAGGCTTCAGATTGGTTTCACAGGTTGGCGCAACATGGAGGGCTGAAGGGCCTGTACTGCACTGTAATGTTCTATGAACAGAGGAGTCCTGCCTCAATATCTCTGACTAATATTTAGTCTTCAATAACTAACATTTAAGATGCTAAAGAAATTGACATCATAGAGCAGACATTTCCTCTTGTGTGGAAATCCATAGAATAGAACCCCTTCAGGGTGGAAACAGGCCATTTGGCCCAATGAGTCTACACCGACCGTCCGAAAAGCATCACACCCAGACCTACCCCATCCCTGTAACCCTGCATTTCCCATGGTTAATGCACCTAATCTACACATCCCTGGACACTGTGTGAAATTTAGCATGGCCAATCCACCTAATTTACACATCTTTGGATAACACAGTGTGGAGCTGGAGGAACACAGCAGGCCAAGCAGCATCAGAGGAGCAGGAAGGCTGACGTTTCAGGCCTAGACCCTTCTTCAGAAATGGGGAGGGGAAGGGGGTTCTGAAATAAATAGGGAGAGAGGGGGAGGCGGAATACCTCTCTAATACCTCTCTCTCCTTCCTGGACCTCTCTGTCTCCATCTCCGGCAACCACCTAGAAACCGATATCCATTTCAAGCCCACCGACTCCCACAGCTACCTAGAATACACCTCCTCCCACCCACCTTCCTGCAAAGATGCCATCCCCTATTCCCAATTCCTTCACCTCCGCCGCATCTGCTCCCAGGATGAGGCATTCCACTCCCGTACATCTCAGATATCCTCGTTTTTCAAGGACCGCAACATCCCCCCCTCAGTGGTCGAGAACGCCCTCGACCGTGTCTCCCGCATTTCCCGCAACTCATCCCTCACACCCCCTCCCCGCAATAACAACCAAAACACAATCCCCCTCATCCTCACATACCACCCCACCAACCTCCGGATCCAACGCATCATCCTCCAACACTTCCGCCATCTGCAATCCGACCCCACCATCAAAGACATTTTTCTCTCCCCACCCTTATCTGCTTTCCGGAGGGACTACTCTCTCCGTGACTCCCTTGTCCGCTCCACACTCCCCTCCAGCCCCACCTCACCCGGCACTTTTCCCTGCAACCGCAGGAAGTGCTACACCTGCCCCCATACCTCCCCCTTCACCCCCATCCCAGGCCCCAAGAAGACTTTCCACATCAAGTAGATGTTCACCTGCACATCTGCTAATGTGGTAAACTCCATCCGCTGTTCCCGTTGTGGCCTCGTCTACATCGGGGAAACCAAGCGGAGGCTTGGGGACCGCTTTGCAGAACACCTACGCTCAGTTCGCACTAAACAACTACACCTCCCAGTCGCGAACCATTTCAACTCCCCCTCCCATTCCGCAGACGACATGTCCATCCTGGGCCTCCTGCAGTGCCACAACGATGCTACCCGAAGGTTGCAGGAACAGCAATTCATATTCCGCTTGGGAACCCTGCAGCCCAATGGTATCAATGTGGACTTCACAAGCTTCAAAATCTCCCCTCCCCCTACCGCATCCCAAAACCAGCCCAGCTCGTCCCCGCCTCCCTAACCTGTTCTTCCTCCCACCTATCCCCTCCTCCCACCTCAAGCCGCACCCCCATCTCCTACCTACTAACCTCATCCCAACCCCTTGACCTGTCCGTCCTCCCTGGACTGACCTATCTCCTCCATAACTCCCCACCTACACTCACCTTTACTGGCTCCATCCCCGCCTCTTTGACCGGTCTGTCTCCTCCCCACCTATCTTCTCCTCTATCCGCCTCCCCTCTCTCCCTATTTATTTCAGAAACCCCTTCCCCTCCCCCATTTCTGAAGAAGGGTCTAGGCCCGAAACGTCAGCCTTCCTGCTCCTCTGATACTGCTTGGCCTGCTGTGTTCATCTAGCTCTACACCTTGTTATCTCAGATTCTCCAGCATTTGCAGCTCCTACTATCTCTCAGCCAGAGGGTTGTGAATGTATGGAATTCACTGCCACACAAGGCTGTGGAGGCCAGGTCATTGAGTACATTTAAGATGGAGATAGATAGGTTCTTGATTATCAAGGGGATCAAGGGTTACGGGGAGAAAGCAGGAAAATGGGGTTGAGGAACTTATCAGCCATGATTGAATGGCGAAGCAGACTCGACGGGCCGAATGGCCTAATTTCTGCTCCTATGCCTTATGGTCTTAATCTCAAAACATGGAAACTGATAGATTTTTTTGTTGACTAAAGGTGTTAAGGGATATGGAGCAAGGCAGGATTGTGGCTGGAGGGCTGAATGATCTCATGTTCCAAGCAACTGCTGGCAATAGTTCTATTGCTGCCACTCCCACCTCCTCTCTTTGAAGAAGTAACGAAGACGACTGATGAGAGCAGAGCGGTGGATGTGATCGATATGGACTTCAGTAAGGCGTTTGACATAAGGTTCCTCATGGTAGACAGGTTAGCAAGGTTAGATCACACGGAATACAGGGAGAACTAGCTATTTGGATACAGAACTGGCTCGAAGGTAGAAGACAGAAGGTGGTAGTGGAGGGTTGCTTTTCAGATTGGAAGCCTGTGACCAGCGGTGTGCCACAAGGATTGGTGCTGGCTCCATTGCTTATTGTCATTTATATAAATGATTTGAGTGAACATAGGAGGTATGGTTAGTAAGTTTGCCGATGACACCAGAATTGGAGGTGTAGTGGACAGTGAAGGAGGTTACCTCAGCACTTTTTCCTCTTTTCATTAACGGGATGAGGGCGTCGCTGGCTAGGCAGCATTTATTTGCCCATCCCTAATTACCCAGACGGCAGTTCAGCGTCAACCACATTGCTGTGGGTCTGGAGTCACACGTAGCCCAGACCAGGTAATGACGGCAGTTTCTTTCCCTAAAGAACAATAAATGAACCAGATGAGTTTTTCCAACAATTAACAATGGGTTCACAGTCATCATTAGATTCTTAGTTCTAGGTATTTTATTGAATTCAAATTTCACCGTCTGCCGTGGTGGGATTCGAACCCAGATCCCCAGAATGTTATGTGGGTCTCTGGATTAATAGTCCAGCAATAATACCACCAGGCCATTGCCTCCCCAATATGAGTGCAACGGGATCTTGCAAAATGTGAGGTGCTGCATGTTGGAACGGCAATTCAAGGCAGGACCTATACACTTAATGGTAAGGTCCTGGGGAGTGTTGCTGAACAAAGAGACCTAGGAGTGCGGGTTCACAGTTACTTGAAAGTGGAGTCACAAGTAGACAGGATAGTGAAGAAGGTGTTTGGTATGTCTGCCTTAATTGGTGAGAGTATTGAGTATAGGATTAGGAGGTCACGTTATGGCTGCACAGGAGACTGGTTAGGCCACTATTGGAATACTGCATACAATCCCTGCTATAGGAAGGATGTTGCGAAAAAGGGTTCAGAAAAGACTTACAATGATGTTGCCAGGGTTGGAGAGTTTGAGCTACAGGGAGAGGCTGAATAGGCTGGGGCTATTCTCCCGGGAGCATTGGAGGCTGAGGGATGACCTAAAAGAGGTTTATAAAATCATGAGGGGCATGGATAGGGTGAAAAGACGAGGTCTTTTCCCCACGTGGGGGAGTCCAAAACTAGAGGGTTTAGGTTTAAGGTGAGAGGGGAAAGATTTAAAAGGGACCTAAGGGGCAACCTTTTCATGCAGAGGATGGTGCATGTATGGAACGAGCTGCCAGACAGAGGAAGTGGTGAAGGCTGCTACAATTACAACATTTAAAAGGCTTCTGGAAGGGTACATGAATAGGAAGGGTTTAGAGGGATATGGGCCAAATGCTGGAAAATGGGACCAGATTTATTTAGGATATCTGGTCAGCATGGACAAGTTGAACCGAAGGGTCTGTTTGCATGCTGTACGTCTCCATGACTCTATGTGGGAAGTTTGGAGTGTACAGTAATTAATGTTTATAACTGAACAATTCCTCCTCCGACTTTCATATTCTTGAATTTGCAAGCATAGAATACAATAAATCGAAAATGTGCCACAGATATAAATACCTCTCTTTGAGGGCGTACTCACAAACTGTTGTTTGGAGTTTACAGACAGAAACGCTGAGATTGACAGATTGTGAGATTCTAGATGTACTTGTGGGGACTGCAGAATTTGCTATTCCTTTTTGAAGAACAGGAAAAGTTAAGGTGAGATTCAGGACATGTGTTCAAACATCTGAGGGGCACTGCTACGAGTAAGTTGCAAGGAACTGTTTACGGTGGCAGAAGGTCAGTAACCAGAGGGAGGCAGATTTTGGACAAATGACAGAAGAACCAGACAGGGAGGTGAGATTGTGTTTTTATGCAGCGAGTTACATTGTTTGATGGTGGCAGCACCAGGTTTAATACTGACCTTCAAAAGGTAGCTCAATAGACACTTTTCAGTGAGAAAATTTGAAAGACTATGGGGACGACTAGGGGCTTGGGGGCAATTGTTTAATTCTTTCAGACTTAGTAGGGGCATAAAGCATCACTTCCTTCATTACTCTGACATCTGAATTCAATTACGTCTGCGTGCCCTTGTACAATTATCTCCACAGTCTCTAAGCCTGCCACACCTTCAGCAGTTATTTAGACATGACCTCAAGAGATTGACTGGTTACACCATTAACCCTTTGAGTACCATAACAAACTGACAGTCTGTTCCATGGCTTGAGAGATCTGAGAACAGGGTCTGAGGAACGGTCACCGGACCCAAAATGTTAATTCTGATTTTTTCTTTGCAGAAGCTGCCAGACCTGCAGAGCTTTTCCAGAGACTTCTGTTTTCGTTCCTGATTTACAACATCCGCAGTCCTTTCGGTTTTTACATCTTTAAACTGAGTTGCTTTGTAAGTGGGCAGGTTGCAATGAAAGATTCATGCAAAGAGGAATATTACAATCACAATCCCTTGAGCCTGCACCTCCAAACAAGATGTGCATTGATATAGCACCCTTCACAATCAAAAGGGCTCTAAATGGTATGAAGTACTTTTGGTGTGTAGTTGCTGTTGTAAAGTAGGAATGGCAGTTTGTCAATTTGTAAGACCACAAAGGAACGATATATTAGTGACCAAATAATTTTGCTTTTGGTAATGTTATTTGAGGGATAAATATTGACAGCAATGGGAAATTGTATGACTGTGTTAAGTGTTTTTAGATGCTTAGTTTCATTGATCAGAAGGAGCAGCTACTAATTGGTCAGCATCACCTGGTAAAACTCAATGCCCACCTGACAGGGCAGACAGGATTTCAGTTTAACATGGCAATTATCTTATTGCTGATCTAAACTGATTACAAATTGCTACATTGACCTTAGAGATAGTAGGAACTGCAGATGCTGGAGAATCTGAGATAACAAGGTGTAGAGCTGGATGAACGCAGCAGGCCAAGCAGCATCAGAGGAGCAGGAAGGCTGACTTTTCGGGTCTGGACCCTTCTTCAGAAAAATGAGGAAGGTCCCGACCCAAAACGTCAGCTTTCCTGCTCCTCTGATGCTGCCTGGCCTACTGTGTTCCTCCAGGTCCGCACTGTGTTATTTCTGACTCCAGCATCGGCAGTTCTTACTATCTCTATACAGATAATAAGGACTGTGACCATGCAGCGATATGCAGGGAGGCGATGGCCTAGTGTATTATCGCTGGACTGTTAATCCAGAGACCCAGATAATCCCGCCATGAAAGATTGTGGAATTTGAATTCAACAAAATATCTGGAATTAAGAATCTAATGATAACAACAATCCATTGTCGATTGTTGGAAAACCCCATCTGGTTCACTAATGTCCTTTAGGGAAGGAAACTGCCATCCTTACCTGGTCTGGTCTACATGTGACTCCAGACCCACAATAATGTGGTTGACTCTGAAATGCCCTCTGGGCAATTAGGAACAGGCAATAAATGCTGCCTGGCCAGCTATGTCTTCATCCCGTTAATGATTAAAAGATATGGACAAAAAGAATAAGAATGTTAAAACAATGAGAATTCAAGGTGTGGCCACAGCCAAATGAACAAAAGAGCTGAATTCCAGAAGTGAGGTGAGAGTGATTGTCCCTGACATCAAGGCTGCATTCAAACAAGTGTGGCATCAAGGGGCCCTAGCAAAACTGAGAATCAGGAATAAAACTCTTTGTTGATTCGGTCATATCTGGCAACAAGGAAAATGGTTGTGGTTGTTGGAGGTCAGTCATCTCAGCTCCAGAACATCTTTGCAGGAGTTCCTCTGGGTAAGGTCCTAAGCACAACCATCTTCAGCTGCTTCATCAATGACCTTCCCTCCATCATAAGGTCAGAAGTGGGGAAGTTTGCCAATGATTGCACAATGTTTAGCACCATTCACAAGTCCTCCAGTACTGAAGCAGTCCATATTCAAATGTAACAAGATCTGGACAATATCCAAGTTTGGGCTGACAAGTGGTAAATAAAATTCACACCAAATACATGCCAGGCAATGTCTATCTTGAATGAGAAAGAATTTAACCATCATCCCTGGACATTCAATGGTGTTACCATTGATCAGAAACTGAACTGGGCTAGTCACATGGATACTGTGACAATGTGAGCAGGTCAGAGACTAGGAATCTTATAGCCTAGATTCCATTCATTATCTACCTACCCAAAGCCTGTCCACCATCTACAAGGCAAAAGGCAGGGTTGTGATGGAATACTCCCCACTTGCCTTGATGAGTGCAGCTCCACCAATATCCAAGAAGCTTAACACCATCCAGGATAAAGCAGCCCACTTGATTGGCACTCCATCCATAAACATCCATTCCCTCGACCACTGATGCTCAGTGGCAGCCGTGTGCACTATCTACAAGATGCACTGCAGAAATTCACCAAGGCTCCTCAAACATCACCCTCCAAATGCATGAACACTTCCAGGTAGAAGGACAAGGGCAACAGATACATGGGAACACAACCATTTGCAAATTCACCCACAAGCCACTCACCATCCTGACATGGAAATACATCATTGTTCCTTTAGTGTCACTGGGTCAAAATTCTGAAACTCCCTCCCTAAGGGCATTGTGGGTGATCCTACACCAAGTGGTTTGCAGGAATTCAAATAAACAGCTTAGCACCACCTTCTCAAGGGCAAGAAAGCTGACTGATGTCCACATCCCATGAGTGAATAAAAAAGTCAGGTGTAAGGCTGAATTCTTAACGTTCAGCTCCATTCACAGCTTTTTCAATAAGCTGCAGCCCCTGCCATACTGGACCAGGATCTACAGAACATGCTATCTGACTAAGATCTCGAACAAGAACCATCTCACTCTTCCTGCTCTTGACTTCCTCCTTGCTGAGCTCCTGCTGATACTTTTCATTGACTGGGAAAGAAACTGGATGCGGTATGCTAATAAGACCAGGTTAGAAATATATCAGCATTTCTTCACTGTCAAAATCCTGAACCTCCATCCCTAACAGCAATGTGGGTGACCCCACCAAGTCGATTGCAGTAGTTCAAGAAGGGAGCTCATCACCACCTTCTCAAGGGCAACTAGGGACCAGCAATAGTGCTCGTCCAGCCAGCGACACTCATCACACTCCATTTATGAACTCTTTTTTTAAAAATGACCGAAAGCTTGTCAAAGAGGCAGATTTTAAGGAGAGTATGAAAGGAGGAGTGTTGGAGAGATTTAATGAGAGATTCCCAGGCTTTGGGTGTAGAAATTAAAATCAGGTCTGCACAAGCAAGCTAAGTATGAGTTATCTAGGATTGAGGACTGCGTAGACCTTGACAAGAGGTAAGTTTGCTCACAGAC